AATATAGGATGTATGAAGGGGGAGGAACGCGACCGCTTCTTAATGTGGGGTTGACTCCACCAGAGAATGAATGTCTGGACGGCGGTCCTCGTCGGTAGTTCCACACGCCACACCCTCTCCCGCCGGGACAATGCAAGGACCATCCTCATCCACCTCGACTTTTGACTTTTCCCAATTGCAGACCTCGACTTTTGACTTTTCCCAATTGCAGCTCGCTCCCCTCATCTGCACACGTCTCCGCGATTTAGTCCCCCACGAGCCCATTTCTTGGTCTTCGGCTCCAATTCACATTCACCTCGCGACGCACGGATATCTGCGTGGCGGCCGCGGTGGTGGGGGCGATCTGATGCGCGCGAACATGAAACCCTAAGGAAGTGGAGACACCATTTTCGAAAGTCGGGGACTGGAGCGATCGTACGTTATAATACCATGAACCCTGAAAGCCTATGCATATTATTACGATAAATTGTGATCTGACGCGATAAGGCAAGCCCTGAGATCTTTTGAGAACTCGAATATCCGTATATATTATGCATGTTGCCCCCGATTCAACTCTACTCTTAAAAGATAACCAATTGTATCAACCAATGATCTTTTATCTCTAGAAGATTTTAATGTAAATGGTTGTCCACAAGCGGCGCATGGGGTCATTGGGTGGTGTGTGGTTTTCGAGGATGAATTCAGGCGATGCTTTCCGAAGGAAAAGGCATTCACTAGACCGTTTGAGAAAATAATTAAGAAGGCCAAAGCTCGTGCTTTTTACCTCGTGTGGGGGAGGTTTTTACGAAGAAAAGTGAGCGACAAAACCCCAAGTGGGGGCAGTCTCCACTTTATTTCTATCCTCCTTTAATTTTTATTCTCATTTATTGGGATCATATATGCCCTATTTTTCGGCTTTCTTTTGGTATATCGGTCAAAATAATCTGCTCCTACTTGAAATTACCAAAGCCACCCTCCCGACCTTTTCAGCTTTTTTTGCTTCCTTCCATGCGAATTCCAGATACGCTGATGTATACTACGCAATTAAAGTGATCACCCGCGTGTAAGAATTCGAGTGATTGGAATTCTGCGTATTCAACCTTACAAGCACGTCAATAGATATGCAGCCATGCTGATAAATGAATTAGGGGGTGAGGACACTAATATAATAAGTGCGGGATTTGACTCTGGCGCTTTGCAGAGGACACGGCAAAATTAAAAGAAGAAGAAGAAGCAAAATTAAAAGGGGAAGAAGAGTTAGAGTCAGAACCCAAAAAAAAAAAACCTTTCGAGCATCTTTTGGGATATTTGACTTATTCTGAGAATAATTAGTGAAAACTCTTGAAAATCGCCTTTAAAATTGATCTTATGGAATGATAATTAGACGATTCCAAATTTTGTTTTTTTTTTTCATTTCACCCTAATAAAAAATGAGTGGACTAGAATTAACTTAATCATTGCACGAGTGCTTTTATTTTTAATTTATAATTTCTCGATGTTATCTCTGGGATTAAAAGTAGACATACTATTTGCAAAACATCGCTCAAGGCGGTCACTTGTTCTCCTGGCTAATCCTATCTCCGTCCGTGGAACACCGAAGTGTGCATGAAGGAACTGTCATTTTAATAAATAAGTATACGCATTGTTTTATGGGCTACACGACTTTTGATACAACCGTGTGTAAAAATACGTTATGCATCGAGCACGATCCTACGCATTCGCGACACACTATTATTGCCGCTCGTCCAATTTAATACCGAACATTAGAAAATCATAAGCATCGTAGAATTATTTCGTCCCGGATGATTATGCTTCTTTTGAGAGGTTTTGTTCTACGCCAGTTAAGTCTTTGAAAGGTTGACTTCATGATCATAACCTTGCCACGATATTCCTTCTTTGTTGTTCATCCACTCAAATCTCATCTTGTCCACCACCCGGCGTGCTTCGGAGGTACCGAAACTAGGGATGTTAAAGCCGATCCGACCCATTAACACCCTTACCCGAAACAGCTTCTTCTATCACCATTCCTTCGTCTGCATCTTGAGCTACATTAAGCTTTGTCAATCTCGCAGTAGTATATGGAGGAAGTGCACTCTTCTCTCTCAGTATCTTTCGTTATATAATTACTAACCATAGATAATGCAAGATACCCCTGGTCAAACCACGTTAGACAAGGAGGTTTCGAATCTTGAAGTATCTCGCGCGTGTATGTCTACTCCCCTGCGCGAGATCGATGCCGACAAGTGCACGCTATCGATACCCATCAAGCCCGTCGCGAAAGAGAGATTATCGTCGCGAAAGCTATCGGTTTCCCTTAAGAAGAGTCCGAAACCCTAATCGCATCGAAGCTCAAAATTTCCCCAAGTCGTTTTCATGGTGCGTCAAACGTTTTGAGGGGGTGTCGCTTGGGTCTCACCTTAAATCTCCCAGTTGGTTTACTCAACAATCTCTTCATTTTATTAACTTAATTTGGGATTAGGTGTGGGTTTGGTTGACAGTTGCTTACTACCCACCATCGATTTTTCTTTGCTTTTCTTACCTGTCTAAACTTCCAACATCGACGGCTGCGAATTCACCAAAGTCACATGTGCCCCCAGCTGTCGTGCATCTGTTCCTCAAATTACCAAAAACGATATTCACGAGCGTTCTTAATGCTTCGATTGAACCGACCATATGCGTAAGAATCCCACGCACACTGCCTGCTTCTTCAACTGGCAATGGAGTGGAACGTGTTGCTTTCTCGTGGTCGTGGACATGAACGAATCCTAAGAGCCTCTTTTGAACATTGCTTTGTCACCATGATGAAGAGGTTTGGTCGTTCTGACTTATGTTGGGTTTTGGAAAAGATCGGGAAGTCAAGGGGTCGGGATTTTTCCGTGGTTCGATCGATGTAACACGAGGGTGGCGATAGCTATTATTTTCCCTTTTTTTGGAAATTCTTTTTATTTTCAGGATCCGGTGTCATTATGCCGCCAACCCGATTGGGCTTCCGTGGCTGCCGACGATTTCAAAGCAATTAATGTCTTTTTAGCCAATTTATCACCATATGAAATTGAAAATTCCATCCCTATGCACTACATTTACTAGATTTAGTGGAAAGAGGAACAAACACCTTAGCTTCATTTAATTTCCCCAAGTGAGGCTGATCATATCTGACGTTAGAGTCAATGGGGCTTGCCTTGTTTTCAATCTTGGGTTAGCTCAACCTTTACACTACACCCAGAAATGAAATCCAATCTAAGATCTATTCACCTATTCCTCGAGAAGTCTCACCTTCCCACGAGCTCACGAAAATTGGGGTAATGTCACTTTCGACTCATATCCTATGATGCCGAGAGGGTTAATTTATCAAATGCCGAGCATTCTTGGACGATGATGATTTTTATTATCAGTTGTAAGCTTCTATTCGCATCGGACTTTATCACGGTGATTTCTCGAGAGACCAATTTATTATTGTAATATGTCGATTACATCATTTTCATTTATTCTTTTTAAAAATCGCAGTGAAAATATTTTCTGAGCTACGACCGCGCACCAATTCGATTTTTTGTATTCCGGTTGCACACCAACAACAAATATAAAAGAAAGGGGGCCACCAGGCTCGGAAAAAATAAAATAAAATGAAATGAAAAATGGAAAAAGGCGCAAGAAAATTCAAAAAGTCCCAAGGCACGGATCCCCAAAAGTCCCAACAAATCAATTGACGACACGGTCGTCAAACCTGCAAAAGATGGAGGGCAATTCGGGGAACGGAGGAAACTTTTTTCCTCTCCGGCGCGTTTCGTACCGCACGGCGAGGTTCCAAACGGCGACGGGAGCCATACGAAACGCCGAACGAGCCGGGTCGAGTTGAACCGGATTAAGGATCATAAATACCTAATTTTTCGAAATTCCGGTCACACATCGCATGAAAAAAGGACGGGTTCCGATGTGAAAGTAATTTGCACGAACCGTTTCATATAGAACACGCTCGACGAGTGTCCTAGGGACATACACCGACACGACCACTTGAATAACCTTCGCAATAAGTATGGTACTAAGGAGTTTATTTGAGGTGCCGATAAGTTTTATTTAAGGCAGTTTAAATGTAAAAAGACGAAGATTACGACATATTCAAGATTTTCACGATGACATTTTTTCAATGTCTCAATGACATTATTCATGTAAATAATCCTTTTACCCTATGCGTATCTCTGATTTTACATGGATTTCTATTTTTAGATAATATAGTCCAGCCACCCTCCACGAGAGAGAGAGAGAGAGCGAGAGCTTGCTTTAACTTTGATTTTCTCTCCTGCAAATGGCGTGGCTTTCTTGTGCGGCCCGGCGCAGGTCGTCGTCGTCTTCACCGTCACAGCACGCCCGCAGCCGCGCGCGCCCGCACTCTGCAGTGTTGCTCACGCCTCCCCTCGCGGCCGATTCCTTCCTCTGACTCGGGTCGAAGAACCCCCACGCCCCTCTTCGAGAATCTCTCGTCTCCTTCCCAAGCTAGCCGTCGCTCTCGGCGATCCGTCGCTCTCTCTCTCTCTCTCTCTCTCACTGCAACGTCTTCCCCGGGGGGGAAGGAGGAGGAGAGAAGCGAGGCATGTGACCGTTTCGGCTATACTTGTGCCGGCAGGTAAATTTCGGAGTTTACTTTCAGTTACATCTAGTGGTCGCCATTACGCTTTGGGTTTCTCGCATGCGTGCGCGCGCAAGTGTTTTTGCTTCGCTTTTCTTCTTGGTTTTTTCTGGCTCGCTTAAAGGCGGCGTCTTCGATCTGGACAAGTTCCTGAGGGTTTTCCGTGTGTTTTCGCAACTCTAGTTCCTTGCGCATTCTCGTCTTCTTCGTCGGCCGATCCGAGGATTCGTCGCCTTGCGGTTGGTCCCCTCTCTCTTCGTTCTTCTTTTCCGGGTGCAGAGTTTTCTGTCTCCGGTGCTAGCGTTCTTTGCAAAAATTGAAGTAAAACAAATTGTGGAGACGCCCCTTTTTTTGTTTTTTTGCTATGTTCAGGCTAAGCAGATCGAAAAGCTTTGAACTGTAATAGCGGATCTTATGTGAGTGAGCTTGTTCTGTTTCTTCGGAAGACGAATCTGTGATGTAGCTTCCGCGGCGTTTACGAGAGCAGGAGGACAAAAACGTTAAGATTCCTAAATATGTCCTTTCATGATAAGTGTTTGTCATTAGTTTTGTTCTCTTCCGAGCAGAGAAAGACTTTTTCTCTCCGAGTTCTAGATGATGCCTCGTTCATTTTTGCGGTCGAATTACCTGTTGACTTTTTGTCCGGTGGCACTTTGGTGGCTGGAAAAATCAAAGTGTATTTCGGCGGTTTGACCTCTGATTTGTCAAACCCGCGACTCAGCAGGAGAGACTGTGAACGCAACGGTTTGACCTGGTTTTGCTAACAGCTTGAGCGCCACTTTGCAGCCAAATGGATTGGAGACCTGAATAGGATACGTGGACGCACCAGAGGGCAAGGAGATGAATGCTAAATCATCCGGGTTGATCATCGGGCTTTCGGTAGGGGTTGTGATCGGAGTGGTTTTGGCCATTTTGGCGCTCTTTTGCATTAGATACCAGAGGAAGCGGTCTCAGATAGGGAACAGCAGTTCCAGGAGGGCTGCGACTATCCCGATTCGAGCAAATGGGGCTGATGCTTGTACTATACTGTCAGACTCGACAATTGGTCCAGAATCACCCGTGAAATCTGGACGCAATGGCATGTCCATGTGGCTTGACGGATTTAAGAAGAGTAGCATGGTGTCTTTCTCTGGAATACCCGAGTATTCTTACAAGTATGTCGGTTTTAGCATTTTGGTTGAAATTACCCAAATAGTTTTTGGTGTATGTGCGCACTTAAGAAATTTTATGTCGTCTGCTACTTCAATTTCGTAATAACAAGATAGTAGATTCTGCAAGTTAGGTCTTTAGCAGATATAAGCTGAAGCGCGATTATCTTTCTACTCCATTCAACTCTTGCCCCTCCACATGGTGGAGATATTAAGAATGTAACGTTTTGAGATTTATAGAGGTCCACTGAAATCTTTTTTATATATAACTCTGGTGGCATGGTTGTCCTGCTGCTTTTACTTGTTTACACGTTATGTGCCCGATATAATCATCCGATTGTCAAATTCTTCTTCTGGACTTGTGGGTTTACCTGCATGTCTTCTCTTGCGGCTCTCCTTTGTTGGGGCTAGTAAAAATGATTGATACTCCCGCTTCACATAGGAAATACACAATATTACATCTCGATAAATCTTCACGCTGAACTGCAGTTCATATCATGGAAAATGACCTTTCTGTATACAGTAGTTGATTGCGCTTTTTGCCCTTTTCGTGGCTGACGTTGCTTTATGATGCTACTACAGAGACCTGCAGAAAGCAACCTGCAATTTCACGACACTCATTGGGCAAGGAGCCTTTGGTCCTGTTTACAAAGCTCAAATGTCAACCGGAGAGACAGTTGCTGTCAAAGTGCTTGCCACTGATTCCGAGCAAGGGGAGAGAGAATTCCAGACAGAGGTAGAGGTTATACATGTTAATGCCTTGTTAACTTGGCACTTCGCGACTAAAACTGCTTTGACCTGTATGGCACTCACGCCAGCAGATATGTTACGCTCTTGTTCTCTGGTGGACATGTTATAACTTGCATCTTGAGATGTAATAAATTGCTTGCTACTTAATTACATGTTCTGTAGAATGGTTTCATAAAGGAAGCACGTGCTGTAGTGAGGTAGACAGTTCTGGACAAAAGATAAGTGAGGTAGACACTTTGGTGTAGTTACGGGCTTTGGTTGTCGTGTCGCACATTCCCTCCTTTATTATGTTATTCTTTAGGGATGGTTAATATTTCTTTCCGTCCTAAATAGGGGACCCCCTTTAAAATCCCGCAACAATTAGATTTGAATTGTCTATATATTGTCTACACTCTATAAGCTTCACTCGATGTTTGAAGCACGAATTTGATGACATTTGTCGACTTAAGACGTCACATTGTTGGCAAGATTCAGTGAAGGTACGATTTGTTTGAATAAACCAAATTTGTAGATATACCTTGGCACATATTATATAAGTTTTAACTTTTGCCGATGCTTGTCCTACTGGAATCAGCAATATGGATGTCCACATAAGTCTTCAACCTTTCCCTTTGATTTACCTCTTGTTCTAAGTAATATTGTACATCTTGACATGCGCCTATATGGGCTTCTCGTTTGCAGGTTAAGTTATTGGGAAGGTTGCATCATAGGAATCTTGTGAATTTGGTTGGTTATTGCGCAGAAAAGGGCCAGCATATGCTTGTATATGTCTATATGAGTAAAGGCAGCTTGGCCTCTCACCTGTATGGTAAGCTTAAACTCTACTTCCTGTTAAAGGAGATTATATATTTAGAGAGCATTATTCAAATGAATGAAATGCATGTTAGGAAGCTGGACTTCAGTACATGACAAGCGTGTTCATAAGCTATAAAATTTCCCAAGTATGTCTGAGTTTTTTTTTTCGCATTATCATTTATGAAGGAGCGTTTTTCTAGGTGTTTATAAAAAGTTGGGCAGTCCAGCAGTAATCGATTCATTGCCATAGGTTCAGTGGTGAGAAGGCTCTGGGGAGAATGTAACAGACAGTTGTTCCCTTCTATATGCTTGTTTCACAAAATGGCCTAACTGTGAATAATCCTGTAAACTGCTATATCCTATTATTTCAGATGATTATGAATGGTTTGGCATTGGACGGCATTTCTTGTAACGATTTATTGATATGATTTGAGTGCTGGCCGAATGAATGACGAAGTATGATGATCTTTTGACCACCAACTATCTCGCCTGACATGAGTATAGAAAATCCCCTTTTTGTGGAGTCAATTCTGTCCCTGAAAGATGTTTCTGTAAGAAAGAGCATTCTAAAGGATACTGCATGATTTTCCTACTTAAGTTACCCGTTGTTAGGTAGAAGGAAAAATAAGTGCGTGATTTTACCATGCTGTATGATGTTGTAAGTAGTACATATTCTTTCCAGGTGATATCAAGGAATCATTGAGCTGGGACTTGAGGGTCTATATTGCCCTAGATGTGGCAAGGGGTTTGGAGTATCTTCATGATGGGGTAAGATTTTGCCTGTCACCGATTTTGTTTTTCTTTTTTTCCTTTTAAATCTATTTCACTTATAGTTGAATTTGGTGCTTTAACGTGCTTTTCTGCATACTGTACTAAATATGTAGCCATTGTTATGATTCATTTCAGGCAGTTCCTCCCGTAATCCACAGGGATATCAAGTCCTCCAATATTCTCTTGGACCAGACCATGAGAGCAAGGGTATATCTCATTTAAGATTCTAATGTATATGTTCTAACCGAGAGTTGACCAGGGCTGGATAAATATTGCCGGTGTTAGATGCATTAGGGGATTCATCTTTTCATTTGTTTGTTTCGTTTCTTGAATGATTCTGAATTTGCTGCTTGCTGAGACCATATCCAAGTACATATACATAACTTCTCAATCACTCAATAAAATTGAATATTTGCTTATTCTGCTTCAATCAGGTCGCTGACTTTGGACTTTCAAGAGAGGAGATGGTAGACAAAAATGCTGCTAATATACGAGGAACTTTTGGGTACCTTGATCCCGAGTACATTTCCACAAAGGCTTTTACGAAGAAAAGTGATGTTTATAGTTTTGGAGTTCTGTTATTTGAGCTAATAGCTGGCAGAAATCCCCAGCAGGGTCTCATGGAATACGTTGAGCTTGTGAGTTCTCTCTCTCTCTCTCTCTCTCTCTCTCTCTCTCTCTCTCTCTCTCTCTCTCTCTCTCTCTCTCTCTCTCTCTCAGACACTCTAGTTTCAGAACAGGGAGAATGACATTTATCTAGGATAAAAGTTCTGTTATCAATTTACTGCTGAAGTGCTTAGGCAAACAAAACGTATTTGTTGTTTTATGTATTTTTTCACAAACCACAACGCCTTCACCTCTCCATCACTCAAGCCAATATTAAAGGAAGAAAAGAAGTAGTGGTTTTTCATATTGCTGACATTTCCCGTAAAAAGAATCTATGGGGTAATGATAATTGTCTCTCCTTGTATTTGTCTTCCTTATGTTTCAAACATTCTGTATTTTCATCAAGCTTGGTTCAGTATATGCCTTAATCCTTTTCTTGTCTAACTTCGTGGTAATGCATAGGCGGCCATGAATTCTGAAGGAAAAGTTGGGTGGGAGGAAATTGTGGACTCTGGCTTGGAAGGGAAATTTGATCTGCAAGAGCTCAATGATGTGGCAGCTCTGGCATACAAATGCATCAATCGCGTGCCAAGAAGACGACCTTCCATGAGAGACATTGTACAGGTTTTGTCTCGGATCCTGAAGTTAAGGCACAGTAGAAAGCATCACAGGAAGTCTCTCTCCGCCGCCACCGATGAAGCTGCAATCGATATCGACCAACAAGAAAGTAGGACTCCAACCAGCAACCACCGGAGAGAGGAGTCTGTGGACAGTACAGCCGACACGTTTGACATCTAAATGAACAGTTCTGCCATTTGTTCATTTTTTGTCTTTTTTTTTTTTTCCTGTGTTTTCATCTTGCTTTCGGTTTCGGTTTTGCTTTTGCTTTTGCTTTTGTGACATCTATACAGTGGGAAAGAAGATAGGAGGCAGGGCAGATCTTCCCCAATGCCAGCATTTCGCTTCTTCGAGTAACGAAGTAGGTCTCGCAGCTAATGTCATGTAACATATTCTGCTCACTTCATTTTCGACCCTCGATCTCTCGACTGGGTGACTGCAGCCATCTGATTCTGTACATTGGTCGTGCAAAGAGGGACTGAATGTAAATGTCTTTTATCTCCAGTTGTTAAATCTCCCTCTTTCGTTCACGCGTCGTCTCTGCCCGAGAGGTGAACGTGAATCCTTTCCCGATGCAAGGCGGTCCATTCTATTCCCCTCGCTATTTATGTTCTGGCAATCTTTCTGTTCGTGTGTTTATTTGTGCGGACAACTTATCTGCGCAACCCTCCTAAGAAACTTGCGGTTATTGAAGCGGGATCAGATCATCTGCGCGCTCTATTGAAGGTTTACCAGAAATCAAATTTGACGATAGGAGGTGCCGAAAATCTGGAGATTGTTCCCCTTCTCGCTAGCCTTATTTAAGTGGGAATAAGGAGCAAATTACGTATGGATCAATGGGTTGGTACAAATTTAATCCGGCAATGTGCAGAGAGAACTATTTGTACGTATCCGGGGGCATGTTTAGTTTCGAAAGACAAATTTTAACTTTCTTTTTCCATAAGTACTCGGGGACACTTGTTAATCCGGTTTTCATTTTTCGAAATCCGTCTAGTAAGTACTAAGAAGGGTTTTCCTTAGAAATCAAAAGTGTAAGTAAGCCATGGACGGGGACGTAGTGCTTTTTTGGCTTCATTGTTATTATTATTATTATTAAATTTATTACTAAATAAATTAGTAATAGAAAATATTAACTGGAGTAAGTATTAAATGAATTCAAATGGGCCGTGTTTTCAGTTTTTCCATCAGTCAGGCCCGTTTCCTCAGAAAACGGCACGTCGTTGATCGAAAAACCCAAAAAGCAGCAAATGCGTCGTCGTTTTATAGAAATGGATGGACACACACTCTCTCCATATTATCCAGATCATCATCACCATCATCATCGCCTTCGCCTTCGCCTTCGCCTCGCTTCACAGAGTTTGAGACCAAAATCACCAGAGCAGCACCGGGGGGAAGAGAAAGCACGGCGGCCATGGCTGCTCTCCAGAGCTCACTGACTTCGCTCTCCCTCTCCTCCTCCAGCTCGTTCCTCGGCCGGCGCCTTCCCCCCTCCTTCCTCCACCCGGCCTCCGTACGTTCTCCTCCTCCTCCTCCTCATCTTCCAAGTCGCTTTTCCAGAATCTCCCAAAAAAACTGCACTCGCTTGCTAGCTCAGGACCCAAATCAAACCCTAACGTGCCCAAACACACCTCGATTCGGTGTTTTGGCGGTGGATTTCGAGTGCGGCAAACTGGATTTCGGGCGGCGAATGCGCAATATATATTTCCATTTTTTTAGCGGAATGAGCCTGACGTTCGCCCGTTCGCGCTATCTGTCTTCATGGTATAAGACGGGCGGTTTTTTTATTCGACCGTTTCGCATGCCAGTTCGTTCGAATCTCGATTACTGTGGATTTATTCTTTTGGCTACTGAATCTGAGGCATTCAAAGGATTTGTGTTCTCGTGGATTGTGCTGCGGGGCGATGTGATAACACTGGATTAGGACTTGTTGCTAGTAATCATGTGGCGGTAGTTTCTCCGAAGTTGTTGGAGATGAGATAAAAGAAGCTCCTTTCTGGTGCGCAGAACACATCCGCCGAGAAAAGGTATCGGTTGCGGCGGTGTCCGACGATTCGTTGTTGTCTACGCAGCGAAACTAGAAATACGGGGAATCTCGTTCTGCTGTTGCGCAAATTGAATGGATGTGCTTTCGCAAGTGTCTCGGCTTTGCAAGTGGCTGCCCTATGTGGGTTTTGATATATAGGCACTGCCTTTTGGTTGGTTAAGCTTCTTCTGTTGTTGATCTGCATGGTTTAAAAGCTGTTGGAGAATTTGATAATTGGTATATCTACTAGTTCATTCAAACCTGTTGAAAGTAGCTCGGCAGATATGTAAAGTGAACCATCTTAATTCGGTGTATATCTACTAGTTCATTCAAACATGTCTAGACACATAACTCATTTCGGTTCATTGGACCCCTTCCTCTCTACAGGTCAATTCAGTGGAGAAGCCATGCCTCATTGTTGCGAAGGTTAGCATTGCTTATGTTTTCTTTTCTGAGTGATTTCTCTATAGCGCGTACTCGCTCTATCTCTCTCTCTCTGTGGTCTGGCTTTTCAGGGTTTATTTCATTTTAGAGCACTGGAATTGAATTACGCTTACAAAAGGGAACTGCTTTTGTTATGTACTACTTCTCAACTGGTTTTTCGTTTTCCCATTGGCAGCTCAAACGTTGGGAGAGAAAAGAATGTAAGCCAAACAGCCTTCCTGTTTTGCATAAAATGCATGTCAGGCTGGGCGATACAGTGAAGGTGATAGCTGGACGTGATAAGGGGAAGATCGGGGAAATATCTAAGATCTTCAAACACAACAGCACCGTTGTTGTCAAAGAGATAAACTTGAAGACAAAGCATGTGAAGAGCAGGGAAGAAGGTGAACCCGGGCAAATTATCAAGGTTGTTCTCACTTAATCATTGAGATTGGAGCTAGTTCCTTGAAGATACTGGTTGATTAGTTCGTGTCTATGGATAGTATCTTTTAGAGCTAAATATCAGTATCTTCCATTTACCATATAGCCATCCAATGACTTTGATTGAGCAGTTTTATACTTAGAATGACATCAATTATATGTAATGGGAGTGTTTATTTCTAATAAATTTCATCTTGGTTTTTGTTGTGAGAACTGAATACTTGTCATATTTTCTTATCCAGATCGAAGCGCCTATTCACAGCTCAAATGTGATGCTCTACTCGAAAGATCAAGAGGTGGCAAGTCGGGTGGGTCACAGAGTGCTCGATGATGGAAAAAAAGTCCGCTTCCTCATAAAAACTGGGGAGATCATTGACAGTACAGAGAACTGGAATAAATTGAAGGAGAGCAAGGAGAAAACTGAAGTTGCAGCAGCCTCATAGAAATGGCTCCGTGACTCCATTAGACTGAAGTTTCCGGATCTCTTTATGTAACATCATTCCTCTCTTGCAATTTCATTTGACCCTTTTCCCGGAGTTTAAATTGTATTCTTTCTTTGCACATCCTCGTTCAGACGGTAGGATAGGACAAACGAGTTTACTTATATTTAGTCGGAAAGAAATGCGGTTTGTTTCACTTTGGAAGATGAATGTCGGTGATAAGATGCAAATTTTTTTGACAAGCTCTAGTTTTTTCATGTCCTTTTTCATCGGATTTGCAATGATGCCATTGCTTTTCTCCTGCGCGCACATCGTGCTTTTCTTATGTGATATGGTTGTGGCTTCTTCTTTTTTCCGGCCCCCTTATGGAGAGCATGAGTTGAGCAACAGACGCGGGAATTTACATGTATGTGGACAGCTTATGTTTACATCACGTGGATCTGTTTTGAGGTCTGCAACTTGTAGTTAGATTGTAAGCTTTCTGTTAGATATTCATCTCGTGAAGTCTTGGATTATGCCTCGCTTTTGTTTTCTGTACCGAAACTCTGAAATATTTGCTCCATGAAAAACTACGAGCTTAGTTGCTGTTGGTATCACAGGAACGAAGGTTAATCAGAAAACGCCAAAGACACAGATTTTCAATTCGGCCCTCATTTGGTCTATTCTATTTGAGAAACATTGCTGGGAACAAATCCCTTCCTTCTTGCTTATCAGCTGTCCTGTTCTTTTCCCATAAACGGAATGACAATCTACGTTTGGAGATGTCGGATGGAACAACTTCGTGAGTATTTAGTTTTGGTTATAATGTAGGCAATTGGATCAAGCTTTCATTGGTTCCAGAAGCCTGGTGAACCATGAGAGAGTATCTGGTCATAGCTTTGAGATGCCGACACGTTCTTGTTTGTTCTGTTTACGTGAGTATTTGGTGGTTCTAACTCTTAGGTTGCTCGACTGTGTTGCAATGAGTGTAGGATGAAATGAACCTCCACGGGATGTAAGGAAAATGGACTCATTTTTAACGTTTGTCGAGATAACTCGGTGTCTAAAAGCGAGGACATGTTTGTGGCAGAAGCACAAAAGCAATAGAATATGACACCAAGTTGGTCAACACACACAAAAATCGACCTACTACAACTCAAGTTGGAATTTTTTATTCGAAAGCTAATTGAAATTTTTTATGTCAGCATATGCTGGATGATAACATATCGTCCTAAAATCTTTTAGGATAATTTCCTCGATTTGAATTTAAAATTCTTTTCTCAATTTGAGGATACTTTCCTTGATTTAAGGAATCAATTTTGCTCTCATCACGTAACTATGTGTCTATTTAAATGTATTCTGTACATCAATAGAAGAACAAGGAAAAATAAAAAAATTCAAAGTTTCTTTTACTTTTTTTATGGTATCAGAGCATTCTGCGTAATAGCATTATTTGTGATCCCGCTTCTCCTTCCTCTTGGCTGTCTCCAACAATTCTGAAGCTACTAGCGCTATCAACATCCCAATTCAGTCCCCACCTATTGTGATTTCAAACATTTCTAGCCTTGTCCCAATCAAACTGAATGCCTCCAATTATCTCCTTAGGAAATCCTTATTCACGCCTATTTTGCGTGGTCATCGCCTAATGCATCATGTTGATGGCTCTGTTCCTCCACCTTCATCTGATGATCCAACATATCCAACTTGGTTTGAAAAAGACCAGCTGCCGTTAACGTGGATCAATGCCACATTAACCGACTCTGCTCTTTCATATATATCGTTGGACTTACTTTTGCCAATCAAGCATGGGATCTGCTCAATAATAGATATGCCTCTACAACACCTGCCCATGTGATGTCCCTCAAATGGTTGCTTACGCGACTCAAGAAGGGCACTCAATCTATGGCTAATTATCTCCAGCAATTTAAGGTCATTTCTGACCAGCTAGCAGCCTGTGGCTCTCCCTTAAGCGAGGATGATTTACTTATTCACATTCTCGATGGGTTGCCACCATCATATCGACAATTATGTTCCTTGGTTCGTATTCGCGCCAGGACATCGACCCTATCTATTGAAGAACTTCATACCATGTTTATCTGTGAGGATCTCTCTTTGACTGAAGATACAGCGCTTGCGATTTCAGCTCAGTCAACTGCATTGGTGGCTTCCAAACCTTTCAGGCCCAATAACTCTCGTCAATTCTCTTAGGGCCGCGGCCATGCACCATCTCGTGGAACATTTCCTCCACGCCAGCAGTCCTCCACCTCCTCTAGATCGGTGCAACAACGACCATCACCCAAGGTCAACCAAAATCTCAAAATTTGGGTGTTCGTTCACAATGTCAGATCTACAATTGTATGGGTCATACTGCCATCGACAGTTATCATCGAATGGACTACACCTATCAAGCCCGCCATCCATCGGAAAAACTTGCAGCAATGGCTGCCACTGCCTCGACCCCACCTAACACTTGGTACACCGACACCGGAGCCACTCATCATCTCACCTCGGAACTCGAAAATCTCCAAATTTCAACTGCTTATGATGGTAATGACACTGTTGAGATAGGTAAAGGTCACAGTATGCCCATTGCATATGTTGGTTCCACTACCCTTTCATTCTTTTCATCACCTCTTCACCTCAAATCTATATTTCATTGTCCTACAACTTCACACAATTTACTCTCTGTTTACCGGTTTTCCAAAGATAACAATTGTCTCTTTAACTTCGATGCTTCTATTTTTGTATTAAGGACAAGGTCACGGGGAGGATACTATATCAAGAGCCAGTTGAGAACGGCTTGTACCCACTTCGCACTCCACCATCATCCACCGCCCCAAAAGCTCATTATAGTTCCTCCATCACGACGGACCAATGGCATGCTCGTCTCGGCCATCCCTCTCATGACATTCAACATGCCATTTTCTCAGTCGCTTCTATTTTCAATAAATCGGGATCTCGCATTTGCTCTTCATGTCAACAGTCGAAGAGTCACAAGCTTCCTTTTTTCAAGTCTTATTCTACCTTTAGTCGTCCTCTAAAATTATTACATTGTGATGTATGGGGCCATGCTCCCACATTATCTTGTTCTAATTATTCCTATTATGTTCTCTTTGTCGATGATTTTTCCAAATATTCATGGTTATTTCCTATGAGATTAAAATCCGACTTTTATGACAACTTTGTTAGTTTCAAAAAGCAAGTTGAAAATCTTTTGCGTCACACCATCACCACATTTCGCTCGGATGGTGGTGGCGAATTCACAAGTAATACCTTCAACAATTTTCTTCAATCATATGGCATTACACATGAATATTCTTGCCCTCCACACACCAGAACAAAATAGTGTTGTGGAGCGCAAACACCGCCACATCATCAAAACTGGCTTAGCTATGATGGTCCATGCTCATATGCCTTCTAAATTTTGGTTGGAAGCCTTCACCACAGCCATTTATTTGATTACCCGCATGCCCATACTTCAACATCACACTTGCTCTCCATATCAAGCTTTATTTCACACCCTACTCTCCATACTACAAGGCTAATAAATTGGAACTTCGATCGATCCCCTGCTGTTTTATAGGCTATAGCCCCAGTCATAAAGGGTATCATTGTATGAATCTCTCATCTGGTCGAGTATATATTTCTCGTCATGTGGTCTTTGATGAAACTAAGTTTCCTCGCTCCCATATCACTCCTACTTATTCTTCATATCTTCCACCTCATAGTCTCGATTTTTTTGGAGTCATTCAAACCAAGCATGCTCATTGTTATCCCTCCACCACTTCACAGGTCATTTTCACATCCAACAATACCTCCCCGGTGCCTTCTTCATCAACTATCGAACCTATCGTGCAGACCTTTGGCCAATCCCTTCCTCCACCTATTGATAATCAACCTGTCCCTTCTTCTTCCACTCACCCAATACAAACAATATCTAAGTTTGGTATTACCAAACGAAAGGCCTTTTCCCATACCCTTCACCCACTTCCGATTGCACTTACCGCCAACCATATCTCCGAACCAACATGTTACTCCCAAGCGGTTAAGGAACCTCAATGGCGTCATGCCATGGATCAAGAATTTACCTCTCTTCAACAGTAACAAACATGGTGTTTGGTCCCTTATGATCCTACTATGAACATGGTGGGCTACAAATGGGTGTTTCGAGTTAAACGAAATCCGGATGGCTCTATTAGTCGCTACAAGGCTCGCCTTGTTGCTAAAGGTTTCCATCAACAACCGGGTGTTAACTTTATTGAGACCTTCAGTCCTGTGGTGAAACCTACCACCATTCGAATTATTTTAGCTCTTGCGGTCTCTCACAATTGGCCACTTCGACAATTGGATGTTTTTTTTTTTTGATCGAAGACAATTGGATGTTGAATGTGCATTTTTACATGGTGATTTGCAGGAAACACTATTCATGTCACAGCCTCTAGGCTATGTTGATACGAGCAAACCTAATCATGTCTATCACATGAAGAAATCCATTTATGGCCTTTGTCAAGCCCCTCGAGCCTGGTATGAAAAATTTAATTCAAAACTTCATGATTTTGGATTCACCATCTCCAACTCCGATCCATCATTGTTCATCTTCCACCAAGGGCATATAACCGTATATCTCCTCTTGTACGTTGATGATATTATACTCACTGGCAATGATACTTCAGCGTTGCAGCAATTGATCTCACATCTTGGCCATCATTTCCGTATGAAGGACCTCGGACCTCTTTCTCATTTTCTTGGTGTTCAAATAACACGTAATTCGAAAGGCATACAACTTAATTAGTCGAAGTATATTATGGATGTACTAAAGCGTGCAAATATGGACAGATGTAAACCAGTCCCAACACCTGCTGTGTCTCAAAAACTTGGCCACAGTGATGGCCCTCCATTATCAGATCCCACTCTTTATCAAAGTTTTGTTGGAGCACTACAGTGTGTTACTTTGACGCGTCCTGACATTTCCTTTGTTGTCAATCAAGTTTGCCAGTTCCTAAAGTCTCCCACCGAGGATCATCTTGTGGCGGTCAAACGAATTTTGCGTTATTTGAAAGGCACAATCACTCACAATCTTCACTTTCGTCCAGGCCAACACCAGCTCACTACTTGTTACGACGCTGACTGGGCAAGTTGCCCCATTAATCAGCACTCTACTAGTGGGTTTTGTGTTTTCTTCAGTTCTAACCCCATTTCCTGGAATGCAAAGAAACAGGCCACGGTGGCACGTTCTTCATCTGAAGCTGAGTACTTGTGTCCAGCTCACACTGCAACTGAATTAGTTTGGTTATGTTCCTTGTAACGTGAATTGCACTGCCCACTGCCCACTCCTTACGCCACCCACCATCTGGTGTGATAATGTTTTCGTAATCTCTCTTGCCTACAATCCAATTTTTCATTCAAGAACGAAACACGTCGCTATCGATTTTCATTATGTCAGGGAACTAGTTAGGCGTAAGATTCTCACTGTTCAGTTCATCTCCAGCAAAGATCAAATTGCAAATTTGTTCACAAAAGGTCTAAGTTCTAAATGCGTCAGATTTTTTCGGAGCAAGCTTCACCTTCAGCAAACCGTGCTTAGCTTGAGGGGGGATGATAACATATCATCCTAAAATCTTTTTGGATAATTTTCTCGATTTGAATTTAAAATTCTTTCCTCAATTTTAGGATACTTTCCTTGATTTAAGGAATCAATTTTGCCCTTATCACGTAACTATGTATCTATTTAAACGTATTATGTACATCAATAGAAGAACAAGGAAAAATAAAAAATAAAAAGGTATTCTGTACATCTTGACAAATGTATCGGACTCCCTGTTTAATTGAAAATCTACCACCTGTCCAAGGTAAGGTATAGATGTAAAGCACTGACATGGCATGCACATGATATAAATACATTCCCATGTGACAGTGACAACCGTACTGTAACATTTTTACTTATTTGGACATTATAATAGTACATTTTCTGTTCTAAATGGGAGACGTAGCTGTCTATCATTAGTGCTGAGAAAACCAGATTTTTCAATCCTTCCCCAGTTCTCTTGCTGCATATCAAGTGGGGCCAAGGGCCATAATGTCAAAGAGCTGCCTTTCTCAATTCGCATGGTTTTGCAGAGAGGAGGAAGAAGGAGAAGAAGAAGAATAAGAGAGAACAGCCATGGAAGACGATGGCAAAACTTCAACTGAACTTGCATACTGTGTCACCGGGGCGACCGGTTATGTCGGCTCTTGGTTGGTGAAGTCTCTTCTCCGACGTGGTTACAAGGTCCACGCCGCGGTGCGCGATCCCGGTGTGCATCTCCATCTCTTTCTTTCATGTTTCCCCTTCTCGTTCATAAATTCGAGTCGAGTCAAGTTCGAACGCTTTTGAGTGTCTTGATTTTTTATCTTATTCCCCCCACAACCCTCCCCCCCCCCCCCCCCTGGTTACAAGGTCCACGCCGCGGTGCGCGATCCCGGTGTGCATCTCCATCTCTTTCTTTCATTATTCCCCTTCTCGTTCATAAATCTGAGTCGAGTCAAGTTCGAACGCTTTTGAGTGTCTTGATTTTTTATCTTATTCCCCCACAACCCTCCCCCCTCCTTTTTTTTTTGCCTTTGATGCTCAACTTCCTCCAATCGTGTTTCGGGTGTACTTTGATATTTTTGATGGTTTGAGTTAAGTTGAGCTGAGATTGAGAAGTCCGAATTCAATTTCATTACTCGAATGTGTAAAGTTTATTTGATGATGATGACCCCTGGCGGCGGAGAGAAAGCGAAATATATATATTGGTCTTAACGGGCTTGAACTTGGCTCATGGGCCACCTAATAGGCCCAAAAGGCCCATCAAGAGTTGAATTCGACCACGGATTTTGGCGCTAAGATCTTAGAACTGATCAAATTGTTCCATCTTGTTACATCCTAGGGAAGCAATTAAATGATGAGCAGCAAGAATTAGCATTGGCTATGTTGATTTGATCGGCTTGAAAGGTGCTTTCACTGACGCTGAAGAATGTCATGTTGCGGCTTGAGCTACATTGGAGACTGTTCATTCTTACTTTCACTAACTTCAACAATTCGCCCTGATCGCTTAGAAAAGCCTCCGGTTTTCCTCATCCTGCAGCTAAATCCTTGCATCTGCTGTCGATGTGGAATGGTGGCGAGCGCTTGAAGTTATTCCGAGCTAGTTTGCAGGATGACGGGAGCTACGATGAGGCGGTTGAGGGCTGCGATGGGGTCTTTCACGTTGCTGCCTCACTGCAATTCGACGTTCAAGAGAGTACCGGTAGATTCCTTTATATTTGCACAACTCTTTGGCACCTTTTTATGGTGACTATAGCCCAAGAAATTATTGAATCCCATAAGAACTGCTTCCTTTCTTAAATCTTTTTCTCAAGATGCGTACGTCCAGTCGAACATCATCGATCCGGCGGTCCAGGGCACCCTAAACCTCCTGAAATCATGCCTGAAATCACAATCAGTGAGGAGGGTGGTGTTCACATCTTCCATCAGTACAATCACTGCCAAGGACAGAGCAGGGAATTGGAGAGACGTTGTTGATGAATCTTGCCAGACTCCAATTGATCATGTGTGGAAGTCTAAAAACAGTGGATGGGTAGTTGCACTTTTCATTTGCCTTCAATATTCAAAAGCATACTAGTGATTTTCATTTTATTTTTGGGTTAAAGTGGAAAATTAGCAATTAGATGATGATGTTGTGGCAGGTTTATGTGCTATCAAAGCTTCTAACAGAGGAAGCAGCTTTCCAATTTGCAAGAGAGAATGGGCTTGACATTGTATCAGTGGTTACCACCACAGTTGGAGGCCCATTCCTTACCTCCTCTGTTCCCTCCAGTATACGAGTTCTCTCGTCCCCAATCACAGGTAGCCTCTTGCTAGTTTTATCTCAAGTAGATTATGAGATTTTGGAGTTTGTTAACATCTCGACTTCGCTCGCTGAGACATTAACAAGTGTGAACTTACGGCGATTGTATTACGCAGGCGAAGTCGAGATGTTCCAGATATTATCTGCTGTGAAATCCAGAATGGGATCAGTCGGTGTAGTCCATATTGAAGATGTATGCAATGCCCACATTTTCTTGATGGAGCATGCCAAAGCAGAGGGCAAATACCTCTGCTGTGCTGAAAGTTGCCCCATGTCTAAGTTGATCCAAAACCTTGCGAAAAATTATCCACACTCGAATATAACAAGGTAATTTTCCGGGATAATTTACAAATGAAGATTGCATTCCGTATGAAAAATTTTCACACGTAAACCTTTTTGGCTGAATGTCAGGTTGGTGGATCAGGAGAATGAGTCAGTCCCAGCTGAGATTTCTTCAAAGAAATTGCGGGACTTGGGGTTCAACTATAAGCATGGAGCAGAGGACGTTATACGCGAAACTGTGACTGCCTGCATAGACTTTGGCTTTCTTCCTCCATTAGCAACTTAAAACTTGGTCTTCTGTTCGCCAATTTGTGAATCCAATGGGCTACAAAACTAAAAACTAATCATTTGCGGCTGAAATGAAAAGTATTCTGAAGTTGGGTGAGAGCTGTCTTACTTTTATGTAATGCAATACAGCTGACACCAAATACTACAATATCAAACCTCGCGGCACCATTCGACTGTGTTTGTCGAATCTAATTAAAGTAATGTTTTGCTGTTGTCAGGACACATGAATAGCAGTTACAGCCATTAATGATGCTGAAAAGTTCAAAAATTTACGGGACTCAGCGAGCTTGAGCCATTAACATTTGAATTGTGAGATGGATTTCGAAATTGTGACCTGCATTAATGAATGCAAAGGTTTGACCATAGTTCTCGGCAGATGCTGCTGAAATTAGCTCATTTGTTAAATTCGGAGAAATCCCAAGAGGAGGGTAATTCAGAACTCGAACAAGACCAAAGACAAAGATTTCTGAATCAATACATGTCTGTACAGTACACTCAGAAAATGGTTCTCCACATTCACTCGAATCTTTCAAGAAATCCAAAGCTCAGTCAGAAGCAATTGGAAGAGAAAAACCAACGTGACTTTCGCCTCTCGCCATTAAAGACATGGATCGCAATTGGGTGCTGCGTTTCAGATCTTAAACCAGATATCAGTAATCATATCTCTTGTTCAGAGAAGATCAGAAAAAGCGGCCCCAATACACTCATTACTCGAAGGTTTTCCTCATCTGTTTTCTTCATTTTCTTTTAAGTTGAATGTCCTGATGAATTGTCAAAATCAATCTCTCTCCCCGGTTTGGTGTTCTTGCTCCGTAGATGCTACCGCCTCCATTAAATGTATGTTGCGTTCGGTTCATCTACCCAAAAGCTGTACGCCCCTCAACTTCTTTAGGGTCTTTGAGTACTGGAGATTCTGAACACCTCATTCAATTCATCCACGCTTTCATACAAGCGTACATATAAATTGGTTAGTGACACATTCATTGAGCCAGTTATGATGTTAGGTCCCGGATGGCTTTCAATGCCGGACCGATATCACCGCGGAAAGGTACGAGTATTCTCTCGATCTTTGGTAGGGAAGCATATGATATTCCGTCGATGAATAAATCGAGACTGGTCAACGAATGCCCGAAAGTACTTGTTAAGTACCAAAAGTTTCGATTTTGATGACGCTAATTACACGCTTCACCAGAACAATTTGATACATTGGAACCACACCAGCTTGATCTAATCAAATAGAAGTTGAAAATGCTCTATGAAAATTCTTGCATCCATGTTCTTGGGTCCAAGAAAAAGTGAGATGCCAGCGGCAAAGACCCTGTTGGATGTTGAAATGAAGCAGATCCCTTTTTTTTAATTAAAAAAAAACACCCATTTAAAATTTCTTAAAGCACTTAGCAATTAGCAATCGGATTATAGTTTTTAAAATGCTTGACTTTAATGGAATTTTGTTGAAGGGTATCCCAAAGACACTTAATAAGAAGTAACGATTGTGCTTTTGAGCTTGCATTTCAATTATTGACGTCCTAAAAAGAAAATATATTATCGATATTCCACGTTCCATATCGTGCGCTGAGAATTGTTCTAAAAATCTTCGGGTTCCCGTCGAGTGCTCTTGGTGAACAATTCGAAAAGACCCATTTTAATATCGGTCATGTTAACGGGTGTCCAAGGCACGCTGATCAAACATCCGATTGGGGAAATTTTGCATTTTTCCATACACCAACTGCCTTCGTGGTATGCACAAATTATGTCCTCTCAAGAAGTATGTCGAAATACTCGTTTAACATGACTCTCATAATAAGGTGGTGCAACGTCCTTGGCATCGCCGGTATTGTTTTCATAGTTCCCGTTTCGCTATCATTGCTGTTTTCAGAGTTCAAACATGTATAAACAGTATCGAACAGTAATACGAACAGCGAGCGTACGTGAACGGCATTAATCATAAGTCGAATCTGCGTTGTTCCCGTTGACTTTTCGTATCACAAACTCTGGGACAAGATTCGTCGCTGCGGTCTTCTCTGTTCTTCTTTAGATTCCTCAAATTATGTTGGAATCTTGAGAATTTGCTAAATTCTTTCTGCAGAAAAGGTGACTTTCTCACGGGAAAAGCAAACCCCCACATGCAAATATTCTCTTCTCAAAATGCTTGAGAAAAGTCAATGAATCGAAAATATCGACTATTTAAAGAGTGCCTTGGAAGAAATCTGTTGATGAGAACCGAACAACAAAAGCTGCTGAAACGATTCAATCTGTTATACGGTGCATCGTGATATCTCAAGATCCAAGATATCATCTAAATTTATTAGATGTTGCAGTACAGTAAATCGGTGTGAACTCTAGCATTGGTACTAATTTATCGTTAAAAAAATCAATTTACAAGATTTTTCGTATTAAATGTTTTTATGATTGTTGTGAAAAATAAGCAATCAAATAATAAAATAGGAAGGATGAGGAAATAAATTTGGACACTAAACTTACGTGATTCGGTTAGTAATGGAGAGCAGCATAGGATTTCACTGTGAATCAATACAAACACTCTCGGTGTTATAAGCCCTCCACTCTTTTCACAATATATCTCGAAATAATCGCTCAATCTCACAAAAGAAATCACAAATTGGATACTCTTCATGCAGAAGACTCGCTTCTTAATAGTTCTAAGTAGAATTTCATGCTTTGTCACTTCGCACATGCTTACCATACTTCTTTTTTTATCAAAGTTGTTACCTATCCAATCCTGACAACATCATTAAACTTGTGCCTTAGCACAAACCCCCATGTCCTCCTTATGTATATATCCATAATTGTTAGCATAATTCTGAGACTCTTTCTTGTAGGAATTTGTGATAACCTGTGAATTAACTTCAGAATCATTATGGTTTCTCTAACGGACGTATTGAACTACACTTTTCGTTATTTGCTCAAGTCATGGCATCCACATACATTTAGTTACTCAGGCGCATAACCATACATGTTAGGTTCCTTTCACTTGGAACTTTAGAATCCTCTCACCAATGTGCCCCAAGCGCATATGTCACAATTTAGACTTTCAAACAGATGCATCCGACGTTTTCGTGGCTAAAACCGTCAGTTTCTCACCTTGAAATTCATTCGAGCCACTGTACTCGATTCATCTCATATCATCAAGGCAACTTGAACAAACTTCATAACTACACCTTCCTAACACACGGCTAAATCCAAGGTATTCAAGGAAATTAAATTCTTCTTCAATTCTAGAACATGCATCACTCTAGTCAATGCACTCGCGATACTGTCATGCAATGTGATCCTGACATCATCAACACCCACAACATCGCACTCGACGTTATCGCCCATCTTCCAAATCAAAGGATAAACGGGCCCGTTGGGAAGAGGATGGAGTGCGGTCTGCATACCACTATCCATTCATTGATGAGTAGTAGAATAGTTTCCGTTTTGTGTAGCATAAAACGAACAACCAAAATTCATAACCCATATGCCAAGCAACAAATTCTCAGTGACAGACAAGACATAATCATCATCACCCAAGACACCACTAGCAATTGTAATAATATCAATATTAGACTCAACTCTATTTCTCTTACCATTCTCATTATTCTACTTAAGGCAATCCCTTCTAAGATGCCCCCATGCCACGATTCCAAAAGACAACACGATAGGTTCTAGATTGACTGTGTCTGTTTGGATTCGCATTACTCTTGCTAACACAAGTACTAGTTCTTTCTCTGGCTTTACTACTAAAGCAGTAGGCACGGGTTCACCATATTCTTTTCTACATATGTGCTCACTCAAAATTCAATCGCGAACCTCATCAGACGTCAAACTTGTTGACCTAAAGGAACTATTCACAGAAGTAATGTAGTATTCCATCTATTAAACAATCAAGATAATAGAAGCAAAGCATGTACATCATCATCAAAATCAATCTTAATCGAACTCAATTGACTAACAATTACATAAAATTCATTGATATGATCAACAACCGATGCATATCCGCCCATCTTTAAGCGAAATAGGCATCTCATCGAGTAAACCCTATTGATTGAAGAGGGCTTCTAGTACATATTCAAAAGCTTATTCATTACAATCCGTAGTGATATTTTCTTTCATGAAGTTAAACGCGATATTACAAGCCAATATCAGCCGAATAACACCTAATACTTTTCTATTTAGCAACTCTCAATCAACTGGCTTCATCAAATTTGGCTCCTTCTCTGACGCGCAAATTCTTCTTGTATGGATAATCCTCAATTTACATTTTCTAGAAAGTGAAATCCTTCACTTCAAATATGTTCATTTGAACTTTTCCTTCCTATTTGTTATCGATTCGCTTCAATTTAGCCAAGTCAAGCTCCGATATCAATTGTTGTGAGAAACAAGCAACTGAGAAATAAAATAAAGAGAACAAGGTAATAAATGAGACTTCAGATTTACATGATTTTGTTGGTGGACCTACTATATGAGAAGAGCGCCACAGGATTTCACTATAAATCAAGACATATAACAGAGTTTGCAACCACGTTCGTGTTACTCAATTACTCCGACTATTTTCCAACTGCAACTACACTCAACATTTGCACGGCATTTAAACGCTCACAAATTCTCACAAAATAAGAAAGGAATCCATAAATGTCTATTGTTCCAAAGTGCAATTCACGGAAAGCTGCCTCTTAAATACTCTCCATGCATAAAACTCACTTTTTATATAGAAAAGATTTAAACCCAAAATAGAAAGCATACTCGAACCGGAAATCCAACTCGAAACTACTAAAATTAGGATATTTATTTGAATGGGTTTCTCAACGGGTTCAAACTCGAAAGATATCACCAAATCAATAATGATGATAAAGACGGCTACGACCATAATAAATCCTTTTACGAGGAATTACGAATTCGAGCAGCGTATTTAGGCAAACATCATCACATCGCGTAATGACTAATCAATACACGTGGGTGCCAGTAGGATGAAACAGAAAGAGACAAAAGAACTGCACGACATGCAAAACCCCTTCCTGAATTTTGTCCTCCGGCCTCGAACCAATAATCCTTTTGGCTAATACCGTATTTACCAAATTTTCCCTCTTCCTCTTTTTTTGTTACATTTTGGCCCCTAGAGTACCAAATATTTACTCAACTTGGCATGTGCATCAGGCAAGATTTTCATAAGTACCCCCCAAAACTAAGAAGGTGTTAACGGAAGTCTTACTTCCAAATGGGGCCCCTCATCTCCTCCTTTGCACTACTATTCTATGTTAAATCAGAAAAGAATAAACAGTGGTTTTTCTTTCCTAATTTTTTAATTCGGCCACAAGAAACAAGGCCCCTTGTTTAATCCGTCTTTGCTCGTTCGTGCATGAAATTCAAGCTGGTCGCTAACATTAATAAACCGTGAAATTCATCAATTTTTCAAAGCGCCGACAAGGTGATCGGCGGATTCATAGGGGTTCTGAATCAATTTCATATTGATTCTGTCAAAAACTCTCGATTTCTCCATGTGTCACGAGCGCCACCCATGTTCATCAATGGTGCTACATTCATACAACCGAAAGAAAATCTGAACTTTTTTTTATTCTAGGATAAACTCTTTAAGCTTCGAGTTGGAGGTCACACCCAATATTCATTCGAACTTTTCGTTTTGTTGTGTTTTGTTTTGGAGCAAATATTAAATGAGTTTCAGACCCTTCAATTCGATTCAGAAGAACGTGAGGCCAGTCCCATTCCTCTCTGAAAGGCCCCTTTCAGAGCTAATTTTTCATTTGTCACCTGTCATCTACCATCAACTCCCATCTCTGATAACTGTCAGATTCTGAATTTTCGCCATCTTGTCCGCATCTGAATTTCAAAAAGACATCAAACATAATGCTGTAATATTCAAATCTTTTTCAAGAACATAGGCACAGACTTACAACTGGCCATTCCATGGTTCTACCGAGAATGAAAAAGATTCAAAGAAAGGCCAGATTGCAGAAGAATTCGAGTAAAAATATATTCAAGAGGAGGATTTTGAAGCCAAAAAGAATAACATGCCAGAAACTTCACAAGCTCCATCAAAAGCCCCGGAACAAACAAAAGAATGCAACTCAAGAAATCGCTGATCCAAATTACTCATGATTTTTCATCTTCTTTTTCTTCACATCCTCCTCTTCAGGACTTGCAAATCACCACGAAACAAGGAAGCAGGGCTCTAGGATTGAGCAAGTAGAGCTCCTCGATGTGTGAATACAGACCCACTTTACCGGCTAACGAATCGAACCCAGTCTGACCGGCCATTTCTTGGATGTTCTCCAATGGCCTGTGAACCCTCCCTGCAATCACCCTGCACACTATCAAGGCCTTCCTCACAGTCGGGTCGTTCTCGACCGTGTCGATGCTCTCGAATGCTCTTCCACTCGTAGATGTCGTGAACACCCCGATCCCTCCCTTCGATTCCTTCTTCACCGAGAAGCCGTGCCGCACGACCCTGCACACGCGGCACCGGTCGGACGTGCACAGGCTTGACGAGCCGTCGAGCCCCAGCGGGCACGCCACAGTCGTGCCGTAGAAGCGGAGCAGCTCGTTCCCGTCGGCAAGGCACCGCGGGTGCTTCTTCGGGAGCTTGCCGGCCTTGATCTTGACCGTCTCGCGGTACTCCTCGAACCGAGCCAGGGTCTTCTGCATGTTGTGGACCTTGAGGACCCGCTCGATCCGGTTGCCGCCTTGGTTCTCCGATTTCAGCCACCCGGTTCGGCATATGATCTCCACGATCTTCCTGGATGAGTCCCCTTCCACTAGTTCAGTCACTGTTGAGCAATAAAACAATGTGGTGAGATGTATGTGATTGTTGTTCAAGCTTCGTCATGTTATTGATCAATGTGAGAAAGAACAGAGACAGTGAGGCTTTCAAATTCCGATAAATCGTAGCAGCTATAGTTCAACAGATGCTGGGAAAGTTGACCATTTAGTAGAGCCAACGAACTTTTTGATCCTCCAGCTCAGACATTGATGAAGCAAACGATAAAGAATCAGCAGGGAAGGAAAACAAAGAAAAAGGACCCTTTCTTTTTCCATCAATGAATGAATTGGTAATCGTCCTCAAAAGGGTAGAATTGCATGAGAAACTTGAAACTTTTTGCAAGAGCAGAGCAGCAACTACAAAGTCAGCCACGTTAAAGTTGATTCGCGAAAAGGTTCCGATGAAAATGAAGCAGATTCCGTCATTTTCACATGCAAAGGTGTCCTTTTTTTTCCCTGAAAGTAAAAAGAAGTTGCCTCCCGTATTTGCTTTTTCTCCGAATCAGAAAATCCACAAGGAATGGTTTTTCTTTCGAAAAAAAGTGAACTATTTCTCGTACCAGCATGCTTGGAGAGATGATGTGCCTCAGCAGCATCCCATTTGGTGAACTGCTCTCCACACTTGTGGCAAGTTATGGTGGACATCCCATTAGCGTCAGCACCCAGCGACACTCTACTGCTAGTACGGACGCCTCCGACGCCGCTGCCTCCTCTGCCACTGACGCCTCCAGACCCTTCTCGCTCGCTTAAGACAGAACCTCCCTTCCTCGGAGTTGTTCCGTTTGCTGAGGTTGTCCTAAACGAAGGATTGAAGTAATGCATAGGCGTCCCCGGCGTCAGAGTCCCCACAAAGGTCGACCCGCCACCGGCGTCGCCCCCTGCACCCCCGCCGGCGCCGGAATCTTGGAACCCGTTGCCGAAGCCGGTGATCTTGAGCTCGCATTTGGTGTTGCTGAGGATGACTTCGTGGGTTAGGGGGTTCAAGAACTCGCTGCTCCCGATGGATCTCGGGCTGCAGCTCGGCGGCTTCTCGGCCATGTGCCTCTTGCTTCCATGGATGACGTCCTTGAGGTTGGCGATGGACCTCGAGCAACCTGACCGGCCAGTCTTTTTGGTCAAGATCGTGGTCAGCTGCTTTCTTGTCTTTGGGTCGTGGACGTCGGATGGCTCTGATTTGCAGTGTAGTGACTTCTTGAGTGCAAACCACACTGTTGGCATCTCTCTCTCTCGCTCTCCTCTTTGCGGGCTTCTTCTTTTCCTTCTTCTCTTGCTCGTGCTCTATCTCAAGGCCGCAAAAGCTTCGTCTTCCTTCAGAGAGTATAGGCCTTTCCCTTTTCACTTCATGGGTTGCTCTGACTATCTATTTTTGGCAGCTACCGCTCAAGAAAGGAAGCTAGAGCTAGAGCTTCACCCACGAGCTTCATCATCCCAGGAGAGACTTCTCGGAATCCTCTCAGGTACCCAACAAGTGCTTGGAGATTCCACTTTGGTGAGCCATCTCCTGCTGAAGCGTTTCTTTTGAAGCTTTACTGCGGACCGGGCGACAGGACACATGGACTTGGGGACCAAAGTGGGAGTGTTTTTCAATTTCGAACCCGGAGAAAAGAAGAGGATAAAGAAAGGTGGGAGGAATACGGAAATCTGTGTAGCCTGTAGGGGAGAAGAAGATGACAAAGGGGAGCTTATAAGAGAGAGAGAGAGAGAAGCTGTCTTTAGTGTTGCCGATTAATGATGGTTTACTGAGGAAGGCCACCACAAGACACGACACAAAAAAACTCTCCCTGCCTTGTTGTCTACGAACCTTCGTTACTGTATCTTGTCGCCCGTTTATGATTTTTCTTCTTTTCCCATTTAACAAAACAAAAAACAAGAAACTTCACAGGGCACCTCTTAGATACAAGGGCATTCAAATTTTTCCACCGCTGCAGCCTGCACTGGAGTCCTTTTTTCTTTCTTAACATTACAGAACCCTTTGTTTACATTCATGAGCAGAATTACATTTGTCATTTTGCAGTCAGAATTCAATGTAAAATTAGGAAAGTCATAAATGGGTTCGGCCCAAATTCACCCATTTACATAACTTAGCTGTCCCATATCCAATCCAACCCAATCATTTGCCACCTCTAGTATTCATGATTATTCTTGTCTTCTGACAAGCTAGCTCCAAAAGTAGTTTGATCGAAACTGAAGTCAAAATATACAACAATTTACTAGAGCTGCAATTCTTACGATTCATTGCAAATCTAAACAAGAAGATCTTGATATTTATCAAATCAATCCTGGTGCCTTCTAGAGTTTTAGCTTCCATCCTAGACTTTTTGATGTCACTCTTTTGGAACATCCAATGGCCTAGGGAGTCTCGCTACTTTAATGTATATGTTTGGTCTAGAGATTATTTTCGATGTATGTCATGTAATTGTATTTTGTGGAACTTTTTAGGTGTTTAGAGTTAAAGAAAAATTCAAACTTTATCCGTCATGAGGCTTAAGTTAATTGTAAAAAGTAAAAGTTCATACAGATATATCTATATTCGTAACGAGATAATTGGGATATAAAATGTCGGGCGATTTTTTAAATGCGCTACAGAAATTCGTAGATGTGCTGTACACAATCTGGGAGTCGGATTCATAGGGTAATCATTTATGCTTGTCTCGTGAACTTTAGTGCTCATTTATTCGTCACTATCCGGGACATTCAAACTTTATAAAGAGGGTGCAGAGAATTACAAGTTAAGAAGGATGGTGAATGATAGCTCCTTGTTTCCTTTCCTTGAAGGGTTGGCGGAAAAAACAAAAGACCTTGGTCCAGACAAATGTGTCTAATCCTCCGGTCAAAGTGGCTACGACCTTGTCCCACAGACAGAGCATGCAGCTGGACTAAAATCCATTTCACCTGATAACTTTACTTTCATCGATGGCTCTCGAGTATATATCTACCTGCCTTTCACAAACTATCATGTATTTTACAGTGGAGTTGGAGAATGAAGGCATACCATGCTGATTGAGAGAGATAGAGAAAGAGAGAAAGAGGCCCTTTGATGATTCTACCTTTTCTTTTCCTCTTTTGATTGGTAAAAAATAGTTATATTGCCTCAAAACATACGCCTTGACAAAACCCTCTTGCGATTCTACCCAACAATGCCTAAAGATTCTAACTATGGGGGGACTTTCTAGCATATGAAGATCTCCCAAATGGGAGTTAGGAAGTCCCTATAACGAGACTAGCTATGCATGCGCTGTTCGCATTATTAGCTCCAACAAGTTCGAGAAAGGCACACAATGATACATGATTTGTCTTGTTTTCTCTCAACATTATTCAAGTGCTAAAGTATAAGTCAGTAATATTTTGCAATTTCGCCTTTCCTCGTCATTCAGGAAAAGGGACTAGGCATATTCGGCCTATGATAAGATGTCTAGCTAGACTCAAATACTCGAAAACGTCGTGGTGGCAAATTCACCATAATGCTCTACGGAAAAAGTGGGGAGACATTGAACACCGGCCAATTCACCATCTGTCCCAAAAGGGGATGATGTACTAGAAGATCTCATTGTCCCATAATCAGCACCCGGCAATTAGTGGGATTCGGAAAGGTGTCGATCCATGATGCATAATATAATCCTAAACCCAAGAAGTGGTTGGGAAAAGAAGAGCTCGTCATTGAGCTTCGGACCCCCCTTCCAGAAAGAAAGTTCACGATGCTTTGAAAATCTAAGGAAAAGGGTGTTGAAAAGGAGGATTTAGAAAGAAGGGCAAATCTTATTAGCTTTTTGCCAATGGAAAGTTGTGATTACTGATTACCCTTTTCATGCTGTGCCGTGCTTCTGCTTCACCTTTCAGTGAAAATGGCATAGAGAGAGAGAGAGAGAAAGAGGAAAAGGACAGTGCTCGAAAGCTATGTGCGTGCACATGCAAGTGATGGATACTACTTCTGTAGGCAAATGAAGTCGATAATTAATGCTTTTCCGATAATGTCAATGTGGACAGGTTTTTGGGTAGAGAAAGGGGGCATGGCTGCGAAAGCAGCCTGAGTGATGGGTCTCATTAGCATTTTACATAAATGTGCAGTCCACCCAATTACAACCCAGAATTGCGCACACCGTGTTTGTGGAAGTGAAGAAGTATGAATTTGGCTTGATTGTAATCCAAAAGCGTGTCCATACTCATCCATCTAATGTCGCGTTTGTCATGTACATATTCTAATCCCCGCAAGCCCGACCACGATACAGTTGGGTAAGTGATTTTAGATGAACCATGTATTTGGTGTAAGCATACGAAAATCAAAATATATAGACATTCATCGTACTTTTCTCAAGGTTTCAACTGTAGGATCCCATATGCCCTCTTGCTGCTCAATTGGTGGCCTCCACCTCGATGACCCCCCGGATGTTGGAACAAAAATAACATGTGGTAATGTAGTCCGAAATCTAATATCGGGCTGACCATGGTGGCTCAAAGGAATCGATCCATTGGAAATGTGGAATGAGTGAGCGACGCTACTCCGGACAAATTCTAGAAGACAAAGAGGATTATGCGGCGCCCAATTCAACTTGCAGCGAGGAACGACGAAGAGTCGAGGGAGCTTCTCGGCGACGTTACGATTGCGGATGGAAGAGCCATTCTCAACATCCCACGGCCTACTTTCGCCGTACCTGTAAAGGTCCTCACCGGAGGTGATGAAGATCGGTCGAATCTCGAAGTGTTGAGATCTTCTCTCTCCGAACACAAGCGTGTGCCCTGATCTTGATGATGTTCTGAGTCTGTTGCAACCAGCTTTCGACTTCTAGAGAGACCTGGTAATCGCTAATCGGGTACATATCTAGGTCAACAAGCTTTGATTTCTTGTTAATGGAACGATGTTGACGATCCAAGTTGACCAAAGGATCTCGGGCCGCATCAGCTTTAGGAGCAAGCCTAAAAGCCCGACTTCAGGAACCACGCCCGCCCAAGAACTCGGAGGAGCCGCTAGAGGGCTCGAATTGGAATGAACAAACAGTCACATTTTTTTGAAGAAATTGTGAGGCCAATGATGGGGGGGAAAGGAAACGCAACAAGCACAATCGCGTCCTTTGATCGAATACATGATGACAAGTGTAATTTCCACTTAAGTAATCAAAGTCTATGTGATCGGAATATGTGTACCGGTTTAACCCGGAGTTAATAGTCTCGATGAAAACTTCATGGGCTCGATGGAAATTCGGATTTATCGGTTTGATTTTTCGTTTTATTGATTCCCGGGGAGTCTGACATTAATATGCGTGGAATGAAAAAGAATACGGCTGTCGAGAGCTCACAGCCTCACACACGGTTGATCTAGTCTTGGTCGTTCGTATTCAGCTTTATATTCACGCCAAGAACTTCACCCGACGCACTCGTGTCTACAGCGAAGAGACGTATCGAGAACAGAAACAGAACGTTCACGCAGAAATCAGAGAAAATAGACGATGCACGAATTTACCCAGGTTCACCCTCGAATAGGGCCATGTCTTGCAAAGAGATTTCACTATATTTTCGGTTTACAGCCACTCAACTCGTTACAATGATCAGAAAAACGAGCAAAATATATATGTGCCCCAAACGGGCCAAAAACTTAAACCTATACGAAATCTCTTAATCTCGCACCATACGAGCCAGCCCAAACCCGTTGAGGTTTCGGGGGCGCTGCCCCGAGCCCCCGCCCGCTCACCGGCGAGCGGAACACCTGTGTCGGGGGCGCTGCCCCCGAACCCCGCATTCCGCACGTAGGGGTCACATGTCGTCGGATAACACTTCAGTTTCTCTAAGCTCACGTGGGCGTACCCGGTGTGAGAAACAATGGTCCCCGAAGTATTCGTCAACTCCAACATACAGATGGGCCTACAATATTCAATTCTAACCCTAGATTTTGAGGGTTCGAAAGAGTATCCATCCATAGACACGACCGTTTCGAGTCGATTCAAACCTCTTTCATTTTATCAGAAAGTTAACCGATTCGGTCAAGTGCGTTCGACATCTAGCGTGCAGCAAGAAGATCGGGGACTATCCTACTTCTTGTTGGACGGGCGGTCCAAAAGAACAAGGGGATGTAGCTCAGATGGTAGAGCGCTCGCTTAGCATGCGAGAGGTACGGGGATCGATACCCCGCATCTCCACTCCAACTCTTCTCCAGTTTTTTATTTGGAATCTCTCTTTTCCATTTTGGATCCAATTCACATGGGCCGCATCTAACCTCTACAGTCCCCCCCTCCTAAAGAAAAGCAAAATTATATATTATCATTACTTACATTGGATTCTCTCTGTGGCTGCCATGTGGAGTTCGCACCTTTGCGGTCAAGATACATTCCGCACGTGACCGATCCCGACAATTTACGATCTCCCCTTCTTGCTTGTTGAATCTCGATGGTTACGCCACCCAACCCATCATCATTCGACTTCGGATTCATGGAGTTCGAATCTTCATCGTCTTCCACCAAAAAAATAAAAAATAAATAAAGGAGAAGGATCTAATTTTTCGTTCGAACTCGTGCCCCTTGTCTTCGGGCGGTCAAGTTCTCGGAGCCAAAATATTGGATCGTTCATCGGATGAATGTTAAACTTATTGATGATTGAAGGAAATAACAAATTGTCGGCGTGACAATTGACCGAATTCCGATCTGGCCAAGCCCGAGAGAAGGAATCGGTCGCCCTCGGGTCCAAACGTATTTTCGGTTTGAGCATATCGCGAACCGGATTCAAGAGA